TCCTTTATAGACCTGTATCTGGTCACTTGGTGTGGTAGATAGAAAAATGTTCCCTCCTCCCCAAAGATGCCTATGTTCCAAAACCTACCAATATGTTATGTGACATAGCAAAAGGGACTTTGAAAGTGTGATTACATTAAGGACTTGAGATGGAGAGATTGTCCTGGATTATCCAGATGAGCCCAATGAAATCAAGGGGTCCTTATAGGAGGAGGCATCAGAATCAGGGTCGGAGAAGATTTGCCATCAGAAGCAGAAGTCAGAGTGATATGAGGACAGGAGTCAAGGGATATGGGCAGCACCTAAATGCTAGAAAATTCGGGGTCTTTTACCAAATTCTTACTTCTTAAACACTTCAGTCTGGAAATGACATATGACATTTCCATTTCCATTCAATAGGTGATACTAGTCCCATGCCATCCAGAGATCTAAAAACAGACTGAGAATTGTAGAACTGTGGCCAGAAAGAAGAGTGAATAGATTTTACTGAACATATCGAAGAAGTTCCCGTCACAGTCAGGCAAGGTCTTCTTGTGGAAGTGGTTTTCACCCTGCAATCTGAGTAGGAAACAACCAGATACATAGGAAAGGGGCTGTTTGATTTTGAACCACTTAATAAATGTAAATTAAATGAATGCATGGATGGAAGAGAAGACACTGGGCAGAAATGAGTGTAGCAGTTTGAGACACAGAAGATCCTCGTGGGTGAAATTAAGTGAATAAGGTAAAAAGTATTTGATGGTGAGGATTGAAAAAAGGCAGGGGCCAAAATCATACCTGATTTTGTAGATGCTGTTAATTTTAAGTTAGTTATATGTGTGATGAGATTCACTGAAGGATATTAAGAGTGGGGGCGGTACCAATGGTTTGCATGATTGGAAGCTGCTTACAGTACAGTGTGAAACAATGAATGGACAGAGGTATAGTGAATACAAGACACATTTGAGATCGTCATAGTAGTTTTGGTAGGAGAAGAGGCAATGACATTTTGATTTAAAGAAACCGAAGCGAATTTGTGATACATTTTGGAATTGGTTTCTCTCCTTGGAGTCATTCTCTCTTCTAGTTTGAAATCATATACACACACATGCACACACACACAGACACAGACACACCACAGAACTTTCTTTCTTTTCATCACTATCACTGATAAAATATTACTTAATATTTTTATTCCAAAGGAACACCTGCTGGTGGAAACATAAACGTGGCAAATGTACATTAAATTTAAACTCAGAAGGGTAGAGGGACTGTAAGGAGACTGGGCACCTATTTGAGCTGACTGAATTACAATGTGTTGAGAAGAATTCCACGCCAAATCTGAGTCACAAAGGCTGCCAATGACTGACCTTCTCTGTCGACTATGGGCACAGAGAAAAAAGAAAGGAGAGGTGACCTATGTGCCACATACTCATGTTAATATACTAGGTATGAGGCAAAAGTCCTATTTCCACTCTGCCTCCATTTTTAGATTGGGGAAGGCGGAAAAGGCACAAAAAGAGAAAGAACATGCCAAGAGGGGCCACTCAGGCCCTTGCAGCAGATGTTCTACAACAGGGAATTATAAAGGAAACATTAGCATAAGAGGGATACAATATATGTCTCGTGATTGCAAAACCATACTGAATTCCCTGTTCGTTTAAGTCATGTTTCACATCTGGTCCATATGTGTAATTGGAAATCTCAGAATTGCGTTTTCATGAAGGAAGATAAAGATGCCAAATGCTTTACAGAGAGGATTTATTTGTTTGTGAGTAATACACATGGAAATGTGACAAAGGGAAAGCTATGCCTGGAGCTGGGATTTAGCACTACTAAGTGAGAGAAACACTTCCTTTGTAAGGAGGTATATGAGCAATTGAAAACTTTGACTCAATTTAGCATAAATTAATAAATGAAGACTGAAACAAAGCATAGATGATGACATAAAGTCAATCTAGACTCTTCTAGGAACCTTTATTAAGACCACACACACACACACACACACACACACACACACACACACAAAACATGAGAGACAGTAAAGATAGAAAATCTAAATTACTAAAAGCACATTGCTCAAATTCAGGAGACAAATGCCTCCTTAACTCAACGCAGAACTTAATTGAATCTACATGATGCCCAAGCATCCAGATAGCCGGATAATTAGAGGTAAGGCTAGAGTAACTTGCTGAATGGTGGAATTTGTGACTTGTCATTTGGATGTTCTGACCCAATAATGAACAAACATTTTATTGCAGATGATAGTAATTTGGCGTCAACATGTTATGTAAAAAACATCAAAAAGATTACTTTGTATACAACAAATATATCCTTTTGCAGCCTAGCTTTCATCCTTACAATTGTCAACAGTTCGGACATTTTCCACTATGAACATTTTGTTATCTTCATTGTTTCCTTGCCTTGAACAGGCAGGTGAAGCAAAACCATACTCTTATTCACTGGCCATAGGGTGTTCCTTGTGAGGGTCCCAGAAGAGGCAGGGGCTCTTACAATGTGCTTCCCCCAACCAAATATCTATGGCTCTGGCCAAACTGTTTGTTTTCACAGAGCCTCAGTTTTCTTCTCTTATGCATTAAACACATTAGAATTAAGAACTACAAGAGGAATATTTTGACTGCAAATAAGAGAAACTGAAGTAATAGAAGACTAAGCAAATACGCGTTTATTTTTCTTACATAATAAGTAGTCTGGAGATTAGCAGTCCAACACAGGGCTAGTGGTTCCATGACCCTCTCCTAGACTAAGATTTGTGCTCCACTACTCCTAGCTGTTTGCTTTCACGTCATGGTCATAATGGCAGCATTAGTTCCAAACGTCGTGTGTGCCCTCAAGGTGGCAACAGGAATGACAAATGGTGTTGCCTTCTGTGGAGGCTCCTTACATTAGGAATACATAACTTTAAAAAAGAAAACCTTATCAGGGACTTTGTCTCACTTGTATCTAACCAAAAACACGTCACATGATCGCCTCTAGCTGAAAAAGGGAATGTAAAAGCAAATACAGATGTGGGTACATTTTCATTCCCAACCCAGAGTTTCCTACTAGCAACGGGAAAACGGGGAGTGACCAGTTCAGAGGTATCTGTTTGTCTTGTAGGGATTCCTGAGGCCCCTTTCAGATTCAAAACTCTGTGATGGAGAAAGTTAGGATAGATAAGGTTCCATGGAATTGCCAAGCTGGTGTTGGAGATCTTTGTCCAGTTCCTATGACTGTTTGGAGGGTGGCCTGTAACTGAGAAGAACCCTTTGGATCTTCCCATTTATGATTACAAAATCTAACTTCCACCAAAAAAAAAAAAAAAAAAATTACGTGATTAAAAGAATTTTTAAATCTTTTTCTGAATTAATAGAATGAATTCTATTAATGAATTCTGAATTAATAGAATAGAATTCAGATTTCTGAGTTAACAGAATGAAAGAAGCTCACATTGATACAGGGAATGTCAGGGCATTCATCCATTCACTCAACCAATATTTATAGAACATTTACTATATGCTATATGACAGGCACTATTCTAGTCTGAGGAGGTAATAGCAATGAACAACGTGGAACAAATTCTTGCCTTCATGAAGTTCTTATTTTAGTGAAGATACAGAAGTGAAAAGTAATGTATGTTTCATTCAGATAGAGCAATGGGAGAGGAAGTCATTAGGTGGGGTGGGGTGGGTGCAATTTAAGATAGGGCATTCAGCAAAGGCATTTCCTTTGAACTATGGACCAATGTTACTTTCCTCTGGTTAATCCCATTTTCTTGACTCCTTCTTCAACAAAATCCTTTGTATGAGGTATCCCCCTTCAGATAATGGAGGAACTCATCATTTCCTCCGTAATTCTTAGTGAATTAGGGGCAAAAAAATTGTGTGAAATTTGATACATATTGACTTTGAGGGACACTCTTAAGGAAAAAAAATACAATTACAATTAGAAAATTAGATATAAATGCAAATACTTATTTATACTAGGAAAAAATAGAGCAACTTAAAAATTTTAAAAAGCTGACCAATTCCCAAAACATCTCAAAATCCAGAAAAGTAACAATATTTCTATTAACCAATTGATCAATTCCTTCTATAATCATTTCCTCTAAATTGTTATGGCTACATGGTTGTAGTTAATTTGACATAACTCAACAACTTTGAAAAAAAATTCTATAAAGAAAATGAGAGAGATAATTTAGCCTTGCCTTTGGCATAAGAGATTGATTTTTTTAAATGTATATTTAGAATGCATGGGTCATATAAGCTCTCACAAAATGTATTTTAGTTTCACTTTAAGTTATAAATTGTGCTGCACATATGAAAAATTTTATTATGAACACTAAAAGAGAAGAAGTAGAGTAGAGAGCTTTAACTTGATTAGTTAAGGATTAACTAAATCTTCTCCACACAAATTTATACACTTGATAATTTGAAGAATTTTCTACAGAATACACTTGATATCAATGCTTGATAATTTGAAGAATTTTCCACAGACTAGCTTCTGGATCAGGACATTTCCATTTCTCCTCCCATTCCTAACCCACTTCTGGTGCCTGGTGCCATGGGGCATATTAATATATGTCTATATTAACACATAACCATTATCCATATTAACATTATCTAACAGATAAACATTAGTGGTCCAACTTCTGGCCCTGCACATCTGTGTCATAATGAGCCAATCCCATACGGGACAGCCAGCAAGAAATATATCTATAAGTGATGTTTCAAAAATCACATAATTCTATTCCACCAAACCCAACTCAGTTTCCCATTAGTGATATCTCACAAATGCTGACTCCCACTCCAATGTCCCTTGATATAAGGGGAATAGAGGTAGAGGGGAAAAGCAGTAGAGGTCTACTGATCTTATGATTTTTTTCACTGAGCAGAGCCTTTCTATTGTGCTTATTTCAGACAGCAGAAAGTGATATCTCCATCTCTTTGGAGAGAGAGAGAGCTCTGGAAAAACTTAATATATCTGATTTAAATCTTGTAGGGGCTCCATGTGATACATACCTGACTCACTGGCATTCATGTCACCCTCTGGTGAAGAGATGAACATTCCATCCATATTCTCTTGCCCTGGTCATTGAATAGAAAACAACCAATATCAATAAAGCAAGTTACTTTCCATTTTTTATAAATTAGAACATCTAAAGATGTTATAGATTAGAACAGCTAAAGATGTTAAAAAACAGAAATTTGAAATCAACTGGCTTAAAATTATAAAGAATTTTATTGGAACATATATCTGAAAAGTAAGGACACAAGGTGGCACAGTTTATTTGTATCAACTCCAGTTGTCAGTGACTCTCTTGGCTCTACCCTCTTTTGTATGTGGCTTCAATTTCAGCCAATATCCTTCATGGTAGGAAAATTACAGAAGCTTCAAGTCTTACATCCCCAGATTGTCTAATCTCAGAGAAGAGAGAGCTTCTGTTAGGTCTTGTACTTATATTGTCACTGTATCCAGAGAAATATTTTGAATTAATTTTTTTAACTTAAAAAAATTTTTATTTTTGAGAGAGAGAGAGAGAGGACAAGCAGGGGAGGGGCAAAGAGAGAGGGAGACACAGAATCCGAAGCAGGCTCCAGGCTGTGAGCTGTGAGCTGTGTGTGTCTGCTGTGAGCAGAGCCTGACATGGGGCTCGAACTCACAAACCATGAGATCATGACCTGAGCCGAAGTCGGAAGCTTAACTGACTGAGCCACCCAGGTGCCCTTGAACTAATTTTCATAGGCCTGGGACAGGCTGATTCCCCCAACAGATACTTGAGGAAAGGGGGATTACAAACTCAATTCCTCAGCTGGGCCAGGCTGTTTATGTCTGAGCGTTTCCCATGTTAGCTTCACAGAAGTGACAACTGAAATAGAATCTGGAGCTGGAAACCAGCCCCTACGTTTTCATAGAACATTCCCAGGTGACAAGTACTTTCACATACACATACAACTTCCTTGAGGCAAATTTTCTATATGCATTTAAAAAGCTGAAAATTTAGATACTCTAATCTCCCATAACTATGTGGATCTCTTCATGGAAGACTTAAAATGTTTTCCGGTTATATCAGTTTGAACAATGGACTAAAATAAAAGAGAGTATGAAATGGCTTAAAAGAGGAAAGCGGAAGCAGGACATTTATGGCCAAGCCTTGGTTGTATCTCTAGCTGTCTTATCTGCACAAGTCATACAGCTTACCTTCACCATCTAAAAACAAGAAGTAAGAAACTGCACTATGAAATCTGTAAGTTTCTAAAACTGGAGAAACACACATAACAATGTTGACTTCCTTTTTATGGGAATGTAGAGTGTGGTTGAGAAGGAAGGGAATCAGGAAATACAGGAAGGATGGTGTATAAATAAGATTTTTAAATCCTTATGTACAACTTCCATTCTCCTCCTGTTTGTGAGGCCCAGGCTGGTAGACCCCATCAGTATAGATCACCCAGCTCAGAGGTGGTTCTCAGAAAGCCTCACCCGGAGAGTTACTCTGCCTGTAGCTAAAAAATGAGAGCAAAATCGCATCCATATAGACCGCCAAGGATTAAAATACGGAGAAGGATACATCAAAATTACAAAGGTTTAGCAACTCCTCATTTCCTGCTCTCCCTAGTCTCTGGCAACACCATTCTGCTCTTTGTTTCTATGAATTTGACTGTCCTAGATACCTCATCTATGTGGACCACAGTATTTGCCTTTCAGTGACAGTCTTTTTTTTTCACCTAGCACAATGGCCTCAAGATTCATCCATATTGTCATATTATAGGATTTCTTTCTTTCCTTTTTTAAGGCTGCATGGTATTTCACTAATATATACCACTGCGTGTATAAACAACAATTCTGTATTGTATGCTTGTACACTTAAAACTCTGTTGAGAGGGCAGATATTACATTGAGCATTCTTATAAAAATATGTTCTCAGGAAAAAAGTAACATTGTTTTAATGAGACATTATAAGCTGGATAGATGAGGAATGGTAAAGCAGAGCAAAGCTGAGTAAAGCTGAGCTTGCTCAGCTAGGCTGAGCAAATGCAGTGGCATTTTGAATGGGCATTTCAAATCCATTTAGCACCTTGGGACATGGTATTATTTTGTAAATGAGAAAAATAGAGGGGTTAGTGTAGTCAGTGCTTAATTGGAATATTTTAATAGTTTGAATCATATTTTGTTTTTAATAGCATATCTTTCGAGAGGTGTGCAGAGGAATTTTCTACTGATTTTAATAAGGAAATTCATTTATGTTGGGTTTATAATAGGCATGCCTCCCCCCAAATACAGTAAAAAGCAATAATCATCTGTATAATTTTTAGACATTATATTAGAGAAAAACATTTGTTGAGTGATATGCACAGAGTCTAATCTTTGCTAATATTTTTGCTTATGGTAGGAATACAATAGGAAAAGATAGATGTATTTTTAAAAATTTTAACAGAGGCTTTTGCCTGCACACATTAAGCCATTTTAAAAGTGTGAAACCTGGGCTGCCTGGGTGGCTCAGTCAGTTGAGCGTCTCTTGATTTCGGCTCAAGTCAAGACTCCAGGGTCTTGGTATCAAGCCCTAAGTTGGGTCCCATACTGAGCACAGAGCCTGCTTAAGATTCTTTCTCTCTCTCCCTCTGCCCCTCTCCCTTACTCACACACACTCTCTCTCTAAGATAAACTTAAAAAATAAATAAAATTACTCCTACTTAAAAAAAAGGTAAAAGTGTGAAATCTAATCAATCACTAAATATTTTGTAATCTTCCTATAAATTACATGTTTTGCTGAATTAGGCACATTTCCCCCCAAATTTCAGTTTTTGAAATTAATTTTTAAATATTTATTTATTTATTTATTTATTGTTTATTTATTTAATATATGAAATTTATTGTCAAATTGGTTTCCATACAACATCCAGTGCTCATCCCAAAAGATGCCCTCTTCAATGAATTTTTAAATTTTAAATGGAGCCTTCGGAATCATACATTAAGAGAGAAACATCACATTTTGCTAAACTTGTACTATTAGTCACGGAGTGAAAATTTTAGATTTAGACATTTGGTTTCTACTTGTCTGGTTGGTAGGGAACTCATTCATTAGCTCCTTTCATGTTTTTTATCAGTTACCTGAACAGCTGAAAAATATGAGAATGGCAGATTTTCTTCTAATTGTAATAGACTAGAATTCAATGAGATAATTCACATATGATAGCTTGGGGTTATGTGTGTTTAAATCGGTGTTGTGGAGGATGGAAAGTTAAGTCCAGGTGTGTGAACCTCCAGGCTACTGGAGACAAGAGGCAGTGGTAGGGAGGCTGACCTGGCAAAGTAGTGTATCTGACACATAGGGAGGAGATTATCTCTTGTTTGAAAAATTACTTATAGTAGTTAAATATTTTATATTCAGTAAATGAGTAAAAGGTGTTATTTTCATAATGAAGATTAAGGGAAAAATTTAACAAAAATGTTTGAGAATTACTAAATAGTCTGTTAAAACCACTCTAGGTTAATAGGCTCAAAAATAAAATATTATTAACAAATTTCTGGTAGCTTTTCCTCGATATCACCATAAAGACATTCCTCTGTCACTTGCCTCGGCATGGAGGGTTTATTTCTTCTACATCTCTCTCCCACCATATTAGCAAGTTGCACTGGATGAAAATTGTGTTGGGCAAGAGAGTCATTAACCTCCTAGGGAGAACAAGTGCCCACCCACAGCAGAGTGGAAAAAAGTCAAATTGTGGAGTCAGAAAACTCTGGGTCAATATCACAAATCCACAATCACAATTTTATTGTGCTATCTTGGGTGAGTTACTGTCTACAAATTTTTAATTCAATATTAAAATAAGTTTGATAACCAAATCAAAGGTAATTTTTTGAGGATCCATGAGAAAACTACTTGAAAAGAGGTATATGGAAGATCTATTTTCTTTGAAGCTTAAAAACGCATAATTATATTATCAGTAATAACAACAGTAATAGTATTATTACAGTAATAGAATAGCAATAAGAAGAGTAGTAATGATAATTCTTGTTCTCCATAGTTAAAGTCACCCTTGACAATGACTGTTTGGGAATGGAAAAAATCATAAGAATAAACCAGTTAATCATGAAACTATGAAGCAAATATGCAGTCTTTATTCTTGAGGTAGCCTTCAAGCAGCAAAGTAATCCATATTCTGGTACTCTGAAGTGAAATGTTAAATATCCTCTTCAAGAATATAATCTATTTCATTAATGTAAACAGAACCAGGGAGGATTACAGTTTTTTCCTAAATATTATTTTCTTTATTATCAAATACTTGTTTTTGTTTGTTTTGGGGGAGAGATGCGTATGCATGTGTAAGAGACAAACTCAGGGCCGGTCTTTCCTTCAAGACAGAAAAAAAAAAAAAAAAAAAAAAAAAGGAATGCTGGAAGGCTCCAGGAACCAGACTGTTATGCCTCACACAGATTTAAGATCAAATTGCCCACTGTTTGAGATGTGTAATGGTGGCTCCTCCAATCGACTGTAAGATCCACAAGTACAAAGAACATGTTTGTTCTTTTTAAAAAAATTTTTTTAACGTTTATTTATTTTTGAGACAGAGAGAGACAGAGCATGAACGGGGGAGGGGCAGAGAGAGAGGGAGACACAGAATCCGAAGCAGGCTCCAGGCTCTGAGCCGTCAGCCCAGAGCCCGACGTGGGGCTCGAACTCACAGACCGTGAGATCGTGACCTGAGCTGAAGTCGGATGCTCAACCGACTGAGCCACCCAGGCGCCCCAAGAACATGTTTGTTCTTGTTTTATTTTGTTGTTATTGTTTATAATCCCAGAATACCTGCTATTTGGCACAATGGCTGGTACTGGAAATTATATCTGTTGAATAAATAGATGTCATAATTTCAAATGAGTGAATATCCACCGGTGAATATACCTTGAGTAAATAGATGTTGCCTTCTACATTCAGACCTGGAGCAAAACCGAGTTGCTCCTGAGCTTGCGGAAGAAAGTTCTCTCATTTGGGGCTAAGAAGAAGTTGAATCTGGACCCCAACTAATAGAAATGAAAAGTGGCTTTATTACTGGGAATTAGTTTGTCTTTAGCTCACAGAACCAGCAGGGGTTGGGATGGGCCTATGAGGGTGGATTTGGTCTTTATTTCTTAAGAATATTCATTTGTAGTAGCAAAGTGTTCAACTAATGAATTATTCATCTGCTTTATATATGTGTATGAAAGTAGATAACTATATAGTTATATACAGTATATCTACACAGAGTTATAGAATTAACTATGCTTCAACCAATAATCTTAAGATTAAAAAAAAATACAATAGCCTTGAATTAGTAGCAATTAACTGAAGGTATCAGTTTTTAGGTGCTTTTCGGAGAGTCAGACCAATTGGAGAGATGAGTGAAATACAGGAAAAAGTTACAGAGTGTAAACATAGTTTTGAGGGGAAATATCAGAAGCTGCTCCAGGAGAGGAGCCTGGAAGGATAGAGGTTTGTATTTACTAAAGTTTAAGTATGTGTGAAAGGAAAATGTCACCTTGTTTCTAAATACAGGCTGGTGAGATCTGAGGATGCATCCATGGCATACATGGCGTTCCTAGAAAGACAGTGCCTGGCATGTAGCAGATCCTTCTATGGTGGTCATCATTGCCACTATTACTTTGTTTGTAATTATTAGTCTGATTGGTGTTATTATTTTTATGACTATTACTCTGATTCACCTTGTGTCTGGCCAGATAATACGTATAAAAGCACTTATTCAATATCCTGCACTTTTGTTGTTGTGATAGATGCTAAAGTTTGATAACACCTACAGTAAAACATGTAAATTCAGCCTTCCAGATAAGATACATTCAGAAAAGATGTCATCAGCAAAGAAATAAAACAAATAATAAAAGAGAAGTTTATTTACTACTACATGCTAGGGATGCTCATTCTGTTTCACCTAGTGCTCTTAAGTCATGACAAGTTCTGGAAAGATGCGGTCATGGGCTCCCAGAGAGAAGTCATCTTGTCTCCAGTTGAGGCTAAGACAAAAATCAGAAGATTTATCATAGCAGTTTTGCAGCCCACAGAACCTAAGGTTGAATGGACACTTATAGAGTGAGAAATGAGAGGCAGGACATGGATTTCAGGTCTTACTGTTTTGCCAAAGAAAACAAATGTCATTTCACTTCTTCTTCTTCTTCTTCTTCTTCGTGTGTGTGTGTGTGTGTGTGTGTGTGTGTGTGTGTGTGTGTCTGTGTGTGTGTCTGTTTTAACAGAGATATAAACAATTGTAAGGAAGCTGTTATTGCTGCGAAGGGATCCAGATAGTGAAAATTCATGGAAAAATGAGGCATCTTTTTCAAGGTCCATAAATTTCCAATTCCTTCCCCAAGAGTTGAGAACAAGTGTGCTTCTTCAATGTGCAGGGTGTCCTAATTAGGAAATGAGCTAACAATTTCCTTTTGAGTAGCCCTCTGTGTTGCTGACTATCTGAAGCAGAAATGTTCAGAGAGGCCAAATCTGTGCTCATGTACAATGTGGAATGACAACACAGGAGACAATATTTTGGCCAATAAATTCAGGCCAAACCATTTTTTTGGATGAATTATGCAAAGAGAATATAAATCTTCTGTTTTCCTTATATGTCGAGCCAGCATTCCTTGAAGAGAAGTATTTTATATCTTTCTTTTAAATCATAAACTTGTCAATGGAAAGGAGGAAGGGACTCTAGAGATATAAAGCTTAATATCTTTTCTCTCAGAAGATGTAATTAAAGGCTTATTAAGTGGTTTTTCCAAAGTCTTGTTTATGCTTATTACCGTCCTAGTATAAAAGGGAAAGATGAATTGACTTTCATAAGGAATGTTTTAGGAACAGCAAAACCCAAAACTGTAAGCTTTAGTTCATGTTTCCAAATGGAAAATGTATTCTTCTCTGGTTACTGAACAGGTGCTCACCATAAATGCTTACTACAAGCTAAAGAAATTACTTATATGGAACTGGAAATGGAAAAAGTGAGCTTAAGTATAAACCTTCAACTCTGAAGTAATTAAGCGGTGGGAAAAATTTTAAAGGTAATCAAATTAGAAATTTGTATAAGCAATCTGGAGAATAGTGAGCTTCGAAATGGGAAGGGTTTACTTAAGTAGTTAGTATGTGGAAAGTACACAATTTATAAACAGGTTAATGCAAATATCAAAAAAGGAAAAATGTGGCTTACCATAGGGTAAAGAGAAAACTGAGAGTATATTATTAATTTATTTATTCACTCACCAAATATATCTTGGCACGCATCAGTACTGAAGACTGCCCGAGGTTCTAGAAAAAAAAAATAGTGTGCCAAAATGAAGGAAAATAACATTTAGAATTAACATCTGGGGGAAAATAAGCTTTCATAGACTTCCACATCTACCCAGGACCCTGACTGTGAAAACAAAATCTGATGAACACAAGAAGATGTGTTGTATAAAGGCTGTCTGCCCTTCTCTTTTAAATTGGTGAACTTCAGGATATATTTTATTTGCAGTTTTTAGGGTTTTGTGATTCTAAGGATCTCAGAAGAATGGATAAATCAAAGCTAAAATCTAGACCAGATGCAAAGGACAAGTGCTGTTTTCTCTTGGCCTAATGTATTGAAAGCATGCTATCGGGGATCTTTGACCTATTTCTGTCAATTCAGAGAACACAACTATCATAGAGGAAAACCCTCTATTATGGATCCTTCATAGCTACCCGAATATACTCCACATTACCTTATGGTTACAGGATTCTTGATCTTCTTCTACCGTTGTGTTGATCTTATTGTTACCAGATGTTTGGCCCTGTGCCTCGGGTTACCCAGGTTCACTGGCCCAACAAACAAAACAAAATTGGAATCATATTGAGTACATACATTTGGTGAAATAATGATATGTAAGAGAAATGAGAAGGATAGTGCCAAAGGGAGAAAAATTGAAGTGCTGCCTTATGAGGGCAGAAACACAAATGCCAAGAACATTTAAGAACCAAACTCAGCATTCTAAAGAAAGCTTTAATGTGTGAGCAAATTCCAGTGGCTACCAGGACAAACTATACTTTTTATGTGATTCGCAAAGCTTTGTTTTAAGGCACTGGGAGAAGAACGGACTGCGTAAGCGATGAAATGCACATTCCCTTCACGTCCAAATACCCATTGCAATGATATTTGTCCCAGTGCGTCTGCATGAAATTAGATTTTTAATACATTTTTATATTTATGTTAGATTGATCTTGGCAGATGGTTTTTAGTAAGTCACAACATTCAGTAAATCATACCAAACAACTTACCTTGCAGCATAGACTTCACTGTTGCTCAAATAAACGATAGCTGTGTGTTTGGTTACTCAAGAGAAGGATTTTCAGACTGTCCGTGCCAGCCCTACTGACTGCTCTTCATCTGGCCTCTTGAATTCCTACCTCCTGAAAGATGACAGGTAGGCGCCATCAATGACATATGTGGGGTAATGGAAAAGAATGTGCCACTTGGAGCCAGACTACTACAGGTAGACTAATAGCCCTGCCATTTCCAAGCCGTAGGACTTTAGCCATAGGACTTCCAAGGCATAGGACCAATACCTCCTTTCAGTTCTAGTATTTTTATCTATGAAAAGGGGATTGTAATATACTCCTTATCTAACAAGGTAGGTGTGATGACTGAGTGAGAACATGTGTGGAAAAAACTTTGTAAATGGGGAAAGAGCTTACTACTGCAAACTGTTTGCAATGTGCAAAAATAACTTTTAAATTTGAAACTTGAAATCAAGTACATTTGACAGTGTACTATTAATATTTCAATAAGTGTTTCAGAGACATTTAAACACATCCTGTCACTTGCTTCAGTTTATTTTTGATTCCACTTGATTTGAGAGAAACTTGAATACTTGTTGTTATAATGCCCATTGAATTAAATATTCAGAAAATACCAGGGGCTAAGGACAAGTGTTAAGCTGCTCCATGTTTCCACTGAGATGAAATTCTGGGAGATACAATTTATAACAAAAGCCAGAATTATGGCCTTTGACTTCCCAATTACAGAGATAATCTTCTAGAACATAGAAAGGTGTTTAATCATTTGTGTGCATGCGTGTGTGTGTACACTTGCACTCGTGCGTGTAGCAAAAAACACATTATCTTAAATATACCATCTTAACTATTCTCAAGTATACAATTCAGTAGTGTTAAGTGTTGTCACATTGTCATGCAGATCTCTATAACTTTTTCATCTTGCAAAACTGAAACTGTATGTTTATGAAACACTGATTTTCCTTTTCCTCTCCCCACAGTCCTGTTTCTATGCTTCTGATTACTTTCGATACTTAATATGTGTGGAATCATATAGTATTTGCCCACTTGTAGCTAGCTTATTTTGTTTAGCATAATGTCCTCAAGGTCCATCCATATGTAACATGGAACAGTATTTCCTTCTATTTTAAAGCTACATAATATACCGTTGAATGTATATTCCACATTTTCTTTATCCATCCGCCCATGAACATTTGGTTTGTTTCAATCTCTTGGCTATTGGAATAATGCAGCAGTGAACATGGGTTGTGCAAATACCATTTTGAGATCCTGCTTTTAGTTCATTTGTTGCATCGTCTGCTAATTCTATTTTTAAAGGTTTGAGGAACCTCCATGATGCTTTTCATAAAGGCTACACCATTTCTTATTCTCACCAACAGTGCACAAGGATTCCAATTTCTCCACAACCTTGCCAACACATGTTATTTTCTGTTCTTTTGATAGTGGCCATCCTAATGGATGTAAGGTAATATCTCGTTTTGGTTTTGATTTGCATTACTGTTATGATTAGTAATGTTGAGCATCTATTCACATGCTTGTTATCATTTGTATATCTTCTTTGGAGAATTGCCTATTTAAATCCTTTGCCCATTTTTTAGATTGAGTTATTTAGTTTTTGTTTTTGTGGAGTTTTTGTCTGTTTGGGGTTTTTTGGAGTTTTGTTTTTGTTTTTTGCTTTTGTTTTGTTTTTGCTATTGAGTTGTATATGTTCCTTGTATATTTTGCGATATTAATCCGTTATCAAATATAAGATTTGCAAATATTTTCTCCCATTCCATAGGTTTATAGGTTAGCTTTTCACTCTATTGATTATTTCCTTTTAACAAAATTTTTTTAACGTTTATTTATTTTTGAGAGACAGAGACAGAGCACGAGTAGGGGAGGGGCAGAAAGAGAGGGAGACACAGAATCTGAAGCAGGTTCTAGGCTCTGAGTTGTCAGCAGAGAGCCCAACGCAGGGCTCGAACTCACAAACTGAGAGATCATGACCTGAGCTGAAGTCGGACACCTAACCAACTGAGTCATTCAGGTGCCCTCAATTGTTCCTTTTGATGTACAGATGTTTCTAAGTTTGATATTGTTAAAATATCCATACTACCCAAAGTTACCTACAGATTCAATGCATCCATATCAAAATTTCAATGGTGTTCTTTGCAAAATTAGAAAAAAATATCCTAAAATTCATATGGAATCTCAAGGGAGCCTGAATAGCCAAAATAATCTTGAAAAAGAACAAAGTTAAAGGCCTCACACTTCCTGATTTCAAAACATCTTATACAGTAATCAAGACAGTGTGGTTTTGGCATAAAGACAGATATATAAACCAATGGGACAGAATAGAGAGTCTACAAATAAACTCTTACATATATGGCCAAATGATTTTCGACAGAGTGACAAGACTACACAATGGTGAAAGCATGATCTCTTTGACAAATGGTGTTGAGAAAACTGGATATTCACATGCAAAAGAAAGAAGTTGGACCTTCACTTTATACTATACACAAAAATTAACCCAAAATGCATTAAAACCCTAAATATAAGACCTAAAACTATAAAAACCCTAGAAGAAAACAGAGGAAAGGTTTAGGACATCAGATTTGGCAATAATTGCTTGGATATGACACCAATAGCACAGGCAACAAAAGCAAAAACAGACAAATGGCACTATATCAAACTAATACACGTTTTAAATTCACAAAAGTACAGTGTCATGAAAATTATGGTATGAAACCTCCTAATATATCAAATAACCACAGTAGAATACACTCTAAATTACATAGTGGCCTGTTGGCAAAGCACTGGGGGAAATGTTGGCTTTGGCTAAGTGAAGTCAGAAGGGGTGGACATGACCTGAACCCATGTGTGATGGTGTAGAGACCCGAGACCATAAGATCCAAGTGAGGAGGTTGAAGTAATCGGATTTGGCTGGAGCACAGAAACATGTAAGTGGAAGAGACTGCAACCTGCCCTCCTTTCTAGGGGACGTCATATAGAGTTCTCATACCTTATCTCACAAATCATTACAGCCCAAAGTAAGTACACTTATTTCTGCTTAGTTCCTCTCTATCTTCATTTATGACACATAATATAAGATCTTTATTCATTTCCACATTTCATGAGTACTTGTTATATGGGAGAGGGCTAGGACTACACTGAGATATAAATTTTATAAAATCCATATTCCCTGTTGTCTATATTTTATTATATAAAAGCCTCTTTGAGTTCTTAAATCTAGTTCACTCGTAGATTTAGTGAGTTTCTGGTATCTATCAGGCCACATGAAAGGCACTGGGAGTACAAAGACAAATAAATTGAAGCTCTATTTATTTGTGTCCACAGATTCTCCTTACAATGTTTTATCTTTTCTCTGAGTCAGGCTCCATCCTCTGTTATATGGCCCTGTATGAGATGCAATGCTCTTCTCAGTGTCTTACAAATGGAATTTACTACACATATTTATATGTGTTAAATTCAATAGATACCCACAGAGCAACTCTATGTGTGAGGCATCAGTGCACACGAGACATGTGAAGGTAAAGAAGGTGTCACCTCTCCCCTTGAAATATGAAAGAAAGAAATGATGGCATAGGAGTTTCTAGGGCTTGTCTTCCAAGAAACATCATTTTAAACGGCTATCTGCATGTGAAAATACGATCAGGAGAGCCAAGGATTCCAAATGAGAGATTATGGCACCTGAAAAAAGCATAGAAGTAAGGAAAAAGACCCACTGAAGAGGGTAAGAAAGATAAATTCCCACTAGTCTCGTCACCCCTACCCCAAGCCCAGGCAGCCCAATGCAGAGAGATACTCCCTCCCAGTGGGAGGAGACTGGAACGGGCACCTGACTTTACCATGGATCCCAGAGCTGGCCTGTCCCAGCACCAGGCTAACTCCTGTAGCCCGAGGTGGCTCCCTGCAGACTCCTGCAAAACCAGACTTCCGTCACCCAGTGCTTTCTGTCTCCAGTAGCATCAGGCAGCTTCTGGGACCCCAGTGATTCCTGCAAACGCACACCCCCAGTTCACACTAGCACCTGCTGTCTCCAGTGGCCCCAGACAACTTTAACAGCCCAGATGGCTCCTATGGCACCAAGCTCCCAGTAGGCTCCTGTGAATCCAGGCTCCCCGGCAGTGACTGCCAACCGCAGTGGTCCCAGGAGGATCCTTTAGCTTTCTCAGCTCCAGGCTCCCAGAAGCCCTCATGAACCTAGGCTCTCAACCCATCAGGGCACTAGACACCTTTAGTAGCCCCAGGAGTCTGGTGAAGCCCCAGGCAGCTTTGTGGGGAATCAGCTTAGAAATTCTCTGAGCTGGCACCAATGGGTTAACAAGGCATGAAGAATTGGAAAGCCATAGGATGAACATACCCAAGTTTGGGTAAAACAAGATTAGGTAAATAAGATTAGGTAACCAGGGCAGAGGCCCCCAGTATAGGACAAATGGGGCAAAGGTTCCCAGTATAGGACAAACAGGGGAAAGGCCCCCAGTATAGGACAAAGGTATAGGACGACAGCAGAAAGCTGCTTTCACAGGAAGGAAGGACCAAATTAGGTAAACAGGTAAATAGGGCTATAGACCTCAGCGGGGAGAAGTTGCCCAGAAGGGAGCTAATTAGCAAAAGAAAGATGCCTTGTTGCCCCTAATGTAGCATGCTCTCTCCTTCTTGTCCCCTAGACCAGTTTAGGTAAACAGAGGTGGGGCCTCATGTTTGTTGTAAACAACCTTTCACCCAGCACCAGAACATTGTTTTGTATTGACCCAAACCCCTGACACGGCATATCTTCAAAACCCCCTTTTCCCCCCACGCCCACGAGTTAATGTTCACGGTTTCATTGTCTCTGTGCATGCCCATCACACCTGTAAGCCTTCTGATCCTAATAAAAATGGAGCCAGGACCCTTACTCGGGGCTCTTGTCTCCTCCTGGACATTAGCCTCTCTCGCATTTTCAATCTTGTGTCCCGCTCTCTTGCTGGACAAGAGAGAACTCCAGACCCAGAGTCTATGACACAGCCTCCATGGCACCAGTCTCCGGCAGGCTTCCACAAACCCAGTTTCCTGGCCACTCAAGTGCCAGTCGGGCCCCAGGCCTACAGCAGCTTCTGTGATGCCAAGCTCCC